CTGTTTATTTCTCTTCTCGCACCGCACCAGTTTGTGGTACGCGCGGCGGAGGGGTTGCGGCGGCCCCTGCAGCACACCGCGCCTTCCCGCGCAGGGACCCAGCGACACCGGCGAGGAGGAGGAGGAGGAGGAGGAGCCTGCAGTTGTAAAGCAGTGCGCTGCGCTGGCGGGCGCGATGCCTTTTCTTTTGGGGCGCGGCCTCCTCGACGTGTTCAATCTTTTGCGTGACTGCCGTGCCCTCCCCAACCCCGCTGGTCTTCTCCTGCCGTCTTTTCTTTGCGCATTTGCGGGCACCCACCCGGCCACAGCCACACGATATAAATTGGGGTGTGAATTTATATTTATTTTGTGCCGGTGGTGCCGTGCGGGCCGAGTTTTCCCTCTCCGTGAGCTCGGGGAGCTGCTGCCCTTTTTGTTTCTTCTCTCTGCCCTTCCGCCGCTGTACTCGTCACTGCCTCTGCCTTTTGCTTTTCACCCCCGATGCCTGATAGATCAGCCCAGTGCTCCTAGCGACTCTGCTACCACCACAACCACCAACACCACGACGGATGGCGATGGCGACAGTGCGGCGCCGTGCGGTGTATGCCCTGGCGGTGCTTGCGCTGCTGTGCGGCTGCTGCTCCTCCGTGTGCGGGGCGACGTCCAATGTGAAGGTGGATGTGTTGTGTCCGAGCAATGAAGGGAAGATATGTTGGCGTGTTTCTGGCAAGAACGATTGGAAGGAGTGTTCGCAGACGGTGAATTACGATGGGCTTCGCAGGGTTGAGACGGCCGGTAAAGACGACAGTGAAAGTGAAACCATCTGCACATACGCCGATACATGGTGTTTATACATCTTGGGGAATTCTCCTTCACACCCAGAAGGGAAAGAGAGTAATGATGCTACGTTCACGATGGACTGTACGACGGATGGCGAAAGTGAATCTTCCGACCTCTCTAACGGTAAACCCATCACTACTCTAACTCCTGGAGTTTCACTTGGCACTTTAGACAATTGTGAGGTATCACCACCCCATCAACCCGCAACTGGAGAAATGTCTGGACGACACAATCCAGGGGTTCAATCACAAGCAGCAACAGCGCCATCTTCTGCGGATACTCAGCAGGGCGGAAGTTCGCCAGGCAGCAGTGCAGGTACTGGAGTCTCCGCTCCTAATGCTGCTGAGCAGTCGGGCAGTGCGGGACCCACAGGGAGTCAGGGAACATTAACATCACCGACTGGCGCTGTGGATTCATCAAAAGCCACAGGAGACGGTGCGGTGCAAGCACCCTCAGCCTCCGCACAGCCATCCGGCACCTCCACTTCCAACACTCCCGCCGGCAGCGATGGTGGAAGCGCCACTACAACCACGACCAGCAGCAGCCCCAGTGGTGGGAAACACACAAAAGGCAATGCGGATGGCAGCGACACGCTCACTGTGTGGGTGCGTGGCACGCTGCTGCTGCTGCTGACGGCTGCTGTTGCCTGTGCTGCTGGGGAGTGACTGCTGCGGGGACCCGCACACCCACACACACCCTGGCGGGGCGACGCGGAGTGTTTGTGCACCGAGTTTGCGTGCCGTCTCTGTGGGCCAACTCCTCTCCTGTGCTTTGAGGGGTACTCCTTTGCTTTTTTGTTTTCACTTTTGTTTCAATGGTCGTTTGCTACGCACATCCCAATGGGTGGCGTCCCTTCCCCCTCCTGTTTGCCGCTGCCATCAACACACGCACGCTGCCGGCCTCGTGGCTGCGTGGGTGGAGCACCGTAACTGTTTTTATCATTTTAATTGTTTCATTGCTTTCGGTGGGCGACCTTTCTCTCTTTCTTTTCCTGGATTGGGCTGTGCGGGAGGAGAAAGAGGGAGTGCGTGTGTGCTGGTCGTCCCACTGCTCGGCGGACGCCTTCACCCTTCGGCTTCACTTCACGGGGTTTGTTTTGTGTTTCTCTGTTTGTTTGTGTTTTGTTGCTTTGATTGACCGCACCCATTCCGCAGCCTCTGCGTGCGTGTGTCTCCGTCGTCTCTCCGCCTCTCTGTTGCTGCGTCTGCCTGTCACTCACGTTCCTCTGCCGTCCCATTCTCTCTCCCATTTTTTGCTGATCTTTCACTCTTGTGCCGCGCAGCTGCTCTGCAGGTATATACGCTAACACACACACCCAAACACACACACGCCATGTCACTCACGCTGTGGAGCGGTGTGAACCCTGAGAACGCGCGCACGCACAAGATTCTTGTGGCGGCGGCCCTCGCCAACGTGCCCGTGACACTCAAGCCGTGCGAGTACGGCCGCGAGAACGAGACGGCGGAGTACTGCCGCAACTGCAGCCCGTGCGGCCGCTACCCCGCGCTGCAGACGGAGGAGGGCTGCATCTTCGAGTCCAACGCCATCCTGCGGCACATCGCGCGCCTCGACCGGAGCGGCGGCTTCCTGTACGGCCGCACGCCGCTGGAGGGCAGCCAGGTGGACATGTGGCTCGACTTCGCGACGACGGAGCTGGACGCGGCCGTGACGCCGTTTGTGCTGCAGGCCTTCTGTGGCGAGCCGTTGCCCGCCGGCGCGATGGACCGTGTGCACGAGGCGCTGCAGGCGCTGGAGACGTGGCTGGAGACGCG